CAAGGCAGCAGCAGGTGCACTGACCGCGGGCTTCTTCAGAGACCCCAGGCCGCCCTCAGGGACAGAGTGTCAGACGAGGCTGCCCCGAGGGCTTGCCCCATCTTCCAGTGAAACCAACGGTGAAACCTGTTTCTGGAGTGAACGTCTATGCCGCTTCATTCTGTCCACTGGCTGAAGCCCTGTCACCGTGTCGCCCACAGAGTGTCCTCTCCCTTTAGTTCTCCCAGACCAGTGGGCCCTGGAGGGCCTTGGCGTTCCCATGGCAGCGCAGGATGGCGCTTCGCAGAAGCAGGTGACGGGGTGTAGCTTGTCCCACCCGGGGCCTGCGGCAGGCCCAGCGCGCACGCCTGCCTGCACATGTGTAGGTCGTTTCCCGGGTGTGCACACGGAGGCCAGAATCCCGTGCCAGGCCTGCTGCGCCCGAGCCTGCAGCATCCTGACATGTTCCCGGCTGCTCTGGGGCCCTGTCTTGGCTCAGAGGCAAAAGGAAACAGCTGTTCTCGGAATGGCTTCCCCTTCCGGTACCCTCCATCCCATCAGTGATTCCCCACTGCTGGAGGCTAATTCCAGCATGTCATAAATGCAAGAAGTTCATCAAGAGGTTGATGGAACCTTGAGGCTTCAGCAGGGCTGAAGATACATACTATTGCCTGCTGGAGTAGCCGAAAGCATTTCCCCAAACCTAAAGATTTGCATATATTTTTGCCTGCTACTGAGACAGCGGAAGCAGTTCCCCCTAACTGAGAATGCCTACTGTATACCAAACCTTACCTTTTGATATGTATATCTGCTTTGCTTTAGGGCAGTTTGTGTTAATAAAGATCTAGGGGTCCAGAGATTCAGAGAACATGGTTACTGAAGCTAGGTCTCCTCTGGCTCCCCAAAATGCCTTCCAAATTTGTATTTCATGTCTAGTCTCTTTTTTAATTTACACGCAGCCCTTCTCCAGATTCCTGAACCCTCTAGATGCAGGGAAAGTGTGAGGGTAAAAAATACTAACAATTCTTACTTCTTTAGCCAGCTCGTCCAGATCGGCTAAGAAGAGGACCAGGGAGTGAAGGCTTCCCTGCAATCCTGAGTGACAGCCCCTGTTTTCCAGCCGAGAGGCGAGCGCTAACGTGGGGCAGAGCAGAATCTCCTACGAGGGCTTCCAACCCTCCCCAAGCCCGGCCCGCCGGCAGGGCTCAGCTTCCTGGTCTGTGGTGAAGGAGATGTGGACGTTTTAGCTCCCAGGCGATTCTACTGTGTAGCCAAGATCATGAACCACAGTATGGACTAGCACAGCGATCCTCCAGCTATGACAGGCACACAGATCACCCCGCCTTCGCATGCGCTGATTCCCGGGCCCCGATTACTTCTGTCCAATGTGCTCCGGGTGCGGCTGCTGACCCATGGCCTCTATGTGAGTAGCAAGGGGTCCCAGGCAGCCTCTGCCTTTCTTCAGGCCAAGAAGAGCCACCCCTCTGAGGAAAAGTGCCACCGGGGCCCTCACGGTGCCACCAGTAGTGCCGCCTAAGGACACGTCTGCTCTCCCGGCACCTCCCTAGCCCTGACATCACAGCGGCTGCACGCGGGACCTCGCATCTGGGGCCATTCCACCTGGAAGATGCTGCACCCAGAGGCCTAGGGCAGGCACAGCAGATGACGCACATGCTCCGGAACCAGCTAAAAGGAACCTGGAAACTCCTGCTGTCACTCAGGCCTGACCACGAAGGCCCACACGCCCGACGACAGGCTGCCCCGCTGTGAGGACGAGCTGCTCGGGCAAGAGCGGGGCTGCTCTGAGGAGCTCCCCACACCACGGACTGATCTTAGGGGCACTGCAGGGAAGAGCAAAGTGAAGATCTACCCAATACTCCCTTTCAGGAACACCAGAGACACCAAGCTCTGGGACTGGCGCAGTGAGGAGAGCGCATGCTGTGTCTCCCCTGGGTCTCGAGAACGGCGCTGGGCCCGGAGCAATCCTGCAGCGGATTCAAACGCTGCTCAGAGGAAGAGCACACACTCAGCCTAAAGGGCCACGGTACTGACCCAGCTTCTCACATGCCCGCGGGGCCCTGTGGGCACGCGGGCCGCCGCACCTGCTCTCCACGATGGCGCACAGGCCTTGGGGCCGCTGAACCCCAAGGCGAGGTCTGCTGCACCTCCTGGGCTGAGGGCTGGCCCGCCGCAGTGATATCCTGGAGGCAATCTTGTCCTCGTGGGGATAGATCCATTCCAGGGAGGGGCACTCTGCCCGGCACCAGGACTGGCATTTCTAACACCCACTGCTGAACCCCCTGGCCTGGGTGAAGGCGCCTCTCCGACCGTGATGCCTGGGGTGGGTGAGGGCCTGCAATGGGCTCTGCGTGTCCTTGAGCAGCCAGCTCACCGGTGTCTCCACTGGGATTGCAATCAGCCGTGGAATGGAGAATGGGGCTGGGAGAAGCAGTGGGATGAAGTGAGATCCTCTGGGTTTCGGCTCCGCTCCACGGACTGCCCCTCGGGGCCTGTCCACGCCCCTGGGCCTCCAGCCACTGCCGGGCGCAGGGTAGCCGCACTCTGTCCCGGCGATTGCACCGCCTCCCTTTGGTCTCATCACCCCAACGCCCTCTCTCCCAGCCCCTCCCAGGTGGGGACAGGTACCTTTACAATAAACAAACTCAAACATGACTGCGCTAATTAAATTTTTCCAATGACTTCCATTTTCTACAGGATAAATCCTAACGCTTTTAAGCTTGGCCTAAAAGGAAGGCCTTCCTAATGCAGACCCAACCTTGACTCTCAGCTTCACTGCAGTTTTCACAGCCACATGCACCCCCCGCCCCGCCGCCAAGCCCCTCGGATGTCCGCGCGCATCACGTTCCCTCCTGGCGCACTGCATCCAGTCCCTTGGCCTGAAGTGCCGTTTCTCTTCAGCCGAGTCCGGTAAACTCTTACTTATTTTTAAAGTTTTCACTTTAGAACGTGTTTGATTTACAGGGAAGTGGTGGGGGGTGTCCAGACAGTGCACACAGCCCACCCCAGGTCCCCTGTCATGGTTCCATGAGTGGGGTCCGTTCCCACAGCTCACAGCGCTCAGCCATCTTCCACCCAGCGAAGCTGCAGCGGAAATGAACCCTGTCCTCCCTTCTGGCCCTCCTGTGACCCAGCGGTGCTCCGGGGCTTCTCACCCCGTGCCCTGGGGTCACACCCTGTCTTCTGAAACTCGAGAGTCTCAGTACTTTGAACTCGGCCGAAGCCGCGAGCCCCAGGCGGCTGAACCCCGAATGCCTCGCTGTTCCCATCTCCGGTTTCCATCCCTGCCTGGAAATCCATGTCTCTTAAAGATCACGTGCTATCTACCTGCTCCAGAGTGTGGAAGAAGACGGGGCCTTGGAGGTGTGGGACGGGCAGTCCGTGAGCCAGCAGACCTTGTTCTGGGTTCCACCACTTACCTGAATGCCTCAGCCAGCACCTCTGTAACTTCACTGAAATTCCACTCTCATATCCAGAACATGGAATAAAAAGGCCTTCCCTGCCTACCATGTTGAAGGGCTATTCAAAGGAGAACATCGTTTTGCTATAAACTGTTATAAAATCTATAATAATAAAAGTCTAATATGCTAATTAGACCAGACGTCCTTCCAGATGACCTTTCAGACGAAGCCAGGGCTGCGAGGGAAGCCCGGGTCCCGGGTGTCAGAGGGAAGCCAGTGCCAGCAGCCAGGGGAAGGAAGGCCTACTCTTGCATGAATTTCGTGCATCAGGTCTCTAGTACAGTGGTTCTCAACCTTGGCTGCACATTAGAATCACCTGGGAATCTTTTTAAAATCCTGATTTCTGGGCCTCATCCTCCGGAAATTCTGTTTCTTTGTTACTAATGTTGTGGCCTCACCTCATAACAAAGAAACAGAATTTTCGGAGGATGAGGCCCAGAAATCAGGATTTTAAAAAGATTCCCAGGTGATTCTAATGTGCAGCCAAGGTTGAGAACCACTGCTCTAGTAAATTAATAATCACAAAATAAAAAATCAGGATATGAAACTGTATGTACAGTACAACCTTAATTATATGTTTTTTAGAAAAGATGGTAGTAAAAATGGGAGGAGCCATGGTGAAATATATTATGTGAATATATCTAGGGGGTAAAATTATGAACAATTATTATTACTTCTTAATGCTCTTCCAGGTTTTTTAACAGATTTGTCACTACTTTCACAGACAGGAAAGTATTTTGATAAAAATGACTAAAACAGACAATTAGGCAAAGTCTGGTCACAAGCACTTGCACGAGGGAGGCTGGTGGGAGAAAGCAGAGTCCAGTTCTCTGTTGCTGTGTCAGAGCCAATCTGCGCCTCCGAGCCCAACTGTCAGCCCTACGGCTGCCAGGAGCCGTGGCAGGCGCCCATCTCCGGGAGAGGTCATTGCCGGCCAGCCCACGGTGCCCACAGCCCATGGTGCCCACGGCCCACGGTACCTGTGGCTCACGGTGCCCATGGTACACGGTGCCCACGACCCACGGTGCCCACAACCCACGGAGCCCACAGCCCACGGTGCCCACGGCCCACGGTGCCCACGGCCCACGGTGCCCACAGCCCACGGTACCCGTGGCTCACGGTGCCCATGGTACACGGTGCCCACGACCCACAGTGCCCATGGCCCACAGCCCCCATGATGCCCACGACCCACAGTGCCCACGGTGCCCACAGTGCCCATGACCCACAGCCCCCATGGTGCCCACGGCCCACAGCCCATGGTGCCCATGGCGCCCACTGCCCACAGTGCCCGCGGTCCAGGCCACTCTGCCCAGAGTCAGACTGAGAGCCTACTGGTCTAGAGCCAGGTAGTGGCCTGTGCCCGGCGGTTCAGTGGAGCAGGCAGACTTTTCCGCAAAGAAGAGGGAGCACCACTGCATGTGGTGACTCCCATGTAGAACTCATGAGAGGAAAACATTCCTTCAAGCTGCCATTAGTCTTTTTTTTTTTTTTTTTTTGGTCTGAAAATACTTAAGGGTTAACATTTATTTTTTATTATTTCAGTTTTTTTAAAAAATACAGATTTATCCCTCCCTGGCCTTCAGGCATTTGTACTCTAAGAAAGAAAAAAAACAAAACTTCATAATGAAACCAAAATTCTGCTTCAAACACATCAGAGGGCACATGTTCCAGGATCTGGGCCCTTCCCGTGCGGCAGGACTAGATTATTCCCTCCCGTCAGCCCAAAGCCAGGACCCCCAGGCTGTGTGAGCCCCGACTTCCACAAAGCTCTGTGCTCTGGCCCAAATCTCACCACCGTGAGGCGAACCCTCATTTGTGAGCGAGGCCAGGACGGGGCAGACACAGCCCAGCACAGGCTCCCGTGGCGTGCTCTAAAGTTAAGTCAAGTCTTTAAATGCAGGCCCAACCCCCAGCCAACCAGGAGTAGGAGAGACTGCGCCCGCCTCCCCCGGGGGCCTGGTTCTCCAGGGTCAACACGCCTGGGAAGAGTTTGGGTCAATAGAAGTCAAAGAGGCCGATGGGCTTCCCTTGTACTAGCGCGCCTGCCCCACCTCCTCTTGGATTTCACCGAGGGGATTTGGGGGACGGGGCCAATGAATGAATGGCCACAGAGGCCCACTCCTGACACTGACCCGTCAAGATCAGCACGTGAAAAACTAATTTCCTGCCGTTAAAGCGAGGCCGGCCCTGCGTGACGACCCGGCAGCCCGGGCGCTGTCCCCAGGGCGTGGGCATGGACAGGGCCACAGCCCGGCGTGGGAGCGGGCAGAGGCTTCAAAGTCTGATTCTGACGAACGACTGGTCACGGGATCAGCTAGTCGGAGAACAGCATTCATAAGCCCCTGGCCCTCGGCAAATATATTTTCCGAGTCACCAGGGTGCTCTCGGTTAGTGGTTGAGCTGGGAGCCGTGCGGTTTTGGACTTTGTGGCCTTGTCCTTAATAAGCACAGACCATTACCCCACCTGCGACAGGCCTCCGTGCGAGCCCAACTGTGGGTGCAACCTAATTACAGGGGTGTCCTCAAGTGCCCTGGCTTCCAGGGAAAAGGAGCCATGAGGCACCCCAACTGCTTGGGGCTGCGAGACCGACTGTGACCAAATTCCCCGGGAGATAGAGCCAGCCAGCCCGAGAGGGGTGCTTAATCCCCATCTCGCGTCTAACCACGTCCGACTAGACAGCAGATCATAACCTGCCTCGTCACATTTACACCCGAGGAAACAGGACGGGGTCAGCCTGTCTAGGGTGCCTGGGACAGGGAGTGAAGTTTCACAGCCACGTCTGGGGACCTCGCAGCCACAGCCAAGTGGAGCCGCCCCATCGCCAGGACCTGCCCACAGCGCAGGCTCCGCTGGTGGCTCCCGCAGCCACAGGGGCTCATCCTCGTGGATTCTCCAGACCACCAGGCCCTCCACCAGCTTTGCTCCTCCGCCCATTCTTATTGGAGAATAGATGTGTTCCCTGTGCTTCAGGCAGGGACCACAGCCTTGGTGGGGGCGGAGGGGGCGGGACAGGGGAGCCCACACCCCGAACCTGCTTGAAAGGGGTGTCTGCACTGGTTGCAAGTACCCAACCGCACAGGGCTGGTCCCACCATCGCAGACACAGCGGGCATCTGAGGACAGAACAGCGAGGTCTGTGGCCAGGGCTGGAGGGAAGGGCTCACCTAAGTTCATGTTCCCAATTCCAGCTCAGCAGGCCCCCGAGGTGCGGGCCTGGGAGAGTGGCACCAGACCTGTACACCAGGTCCCATGGGGGGCCCACAGCGGGGGGCGGGGCCTGGAGGCTCAAACAGGCTGTGGGGAAGGAGGAGGCTGCTCTGAGGGGAGCTGAGCACCTGGCTCCGAGCAAGGGCACTGAGCGCGGTTGGAAGTTGCACTCTCTTCCACGCGCAGGCATCGCTAGTGTAAACGTCCAGGGGCAGATCCTGAGTGAACACGGAGAGTGGCCACAGGCGGCTCTGTGCAAACCCTGAGCAAGGACGAGGGGAAGAGTCCCAGGGGTATGGGGGGACCAGGCAGCCTGAGGGACCCCCTGGGTGGCCAAACCCCCGGCCTCTGCCACCTGAGAGCCAGGCGCCCGGGCTACTGGCTGCACGGGGAGAGACGGGTGCCACGTGCTGCAAGAGCCTTTTTATTTCTTCCTTTGTATTACCTTTATTGGGTGACACCAGTTAACACAATTTTACAGGTTTCAGTGCACAATTCTACAGCATATCATCCGTATTCACCACCCAAGTCAAGTCTCTGTCCCTCACCTTGTATCCCCGCCCACCCCCCTCTCCCCCCAGCAACCACCACACTGAGTCCTGTCCTGTCCCGGGCACAGAGAGGACGGCCAGGAAGCAGGAAGATGCTGCCGCTGTCACTGTGACAAACAAAAAGTCAGATCATCACGAAGGGTCTGAGAAGCCCCGCCAAGGAGAGAGGTCCCCCAAGGAGAGAGGGTACGAGAATGGTCCATTCGTGGCAGAGCATGGGGCAAACGAGTGGCTGTTATGAGAATGGGTAAGAAGAAAAACATTAATTTAAAAAATTAAATTTCACCAAATTCTTAGAAGCCAAGCGAGGGCCAGCAAGGCAGTGAGGCTCCTTGGTGTCTCCCCCCCCACCCCCCCAGGGAGGCACACACTCACCCGCTCTCCCATCAGGCCTCGCGGCGGAGGGGTCAGAACAGAGCCCCGGAAGTTAGGGCAGCATCAGACACACAGGCACCCAATGTAAGGCATGCACTCTGCATACACGCAGAAATCTCATAATTCAGTTACAAGAAGACACACAGCCTGGTTTTTAAAAATAGAGAAAAGACATTTTTCTAAAGAAGGTATATGAAAGGACAGTACGCACATGAAAATATATGTGTTCAAAATCATGAGTTATCAGGCAAGTGCAAACTAAGGCCACAGGACGTGCCAGGAGAGGAGCACCAGGCCACGGTACCACTCCCTGAAGTGGCTAAAATCAAAGACTGACGTCACCAAGTGGGGTGAGGGTTTGGAAATCTCACGGAAGACAGCCGGCAGCTTCCTGTCAGCCACACACACACTGACCACGCTGACCAGCCCGCCCCCTCGGGAGCTAGAACGTGTGTCCACCCAGGGCCGGTGTGTGGCTACTCAGGATGGAAATGCTCCATATGTCAATTATGGTGATCAGTGCAACGAGAGACACACGTGGACTATTTATTCAATGGAACACTACTCAGCAATGACAAGCAGCACGCTCCTGACACATGGGACATCCTGGATGACGCTCAAATGCATTATACCACGTGAGGAGCAGCCACAGAAGAGCCCGCGCTTCCGGATCCCATGCACACGGCTTTCTGGAAAACACAGAGCTACAAGTCCTGAAAGCAGACCGGTGGTGGCCTGAGGCCAGGAGTGGGAGGAGGAGATTAATGCTAAGAGGAAGGGAAGCTAGGAGAGTAATGGACAGTGCGAGTGTTATGGTGATCGTACTACTGTACACATCTGCCAGAGCTGCTCAAACACTACACCTACTATGAGTAAATTTACTTCCGATTACCCCATCTAAATAAACCTGATTTGTTTTATACACACACTCACACACACATAGGCACACACATACATAGGCACTCGCGTGCACACACATTGAGAGTGATTTGAGAAGGATGGAGCCATGTACTGCAGAGTCAGGAAGGCACTAACCTGTTCCTGTCATGTGACCCAACTATGACCCTTTGGCAAAGATGATGAACTTTCGGCAACAGTGATAATGACGACACTAACTATGACGGATGTCAGTGCACTTGGGTCATCCTGCTGGAACTAGCTGGAGCTAAATGAGTGTCCCATACCAAGAAATTATCTGTCAGTCTAGAAAAAGTGAGTGCACCTTTATAAAGGCTTAGGAAAAACATAAAGTCCGTTTTACCTTCGAATAGCTCCTTGGTGTGCACGGAAAGATAGTTTTTATAACATTATATGTGGTGTGATCCATCTTTCCTTAATGCTTACGTCCTTTTGTGAGATGGGGCACTTGCAGGCCTAAGGCAACATGGGAGCTGGGAGTGGCTACCCTGGCGCCGGGAGAGCAGGGATCACAGGCTGCCACCTCCTGCTCTGGAAGCGCTATAGCAGTAGTCGGCAAACTGCAGCTCGCGAGCCACATGCGGCTCTTTGGCCCCTTCAGTCTGGCTCTTCCTAAGCCTTAGGAGTACCCTAATTAAATTAATAACAATGTACCTACCTATATAGTTTAAGTTTAAAAAATTTGGCTCTCAAAAGAAATTTCAATCATTGTACTGTTGATATTTGGCTCTGTTGACTAATGAGTTTGCCTACCACTGCCCTATAGCATCTCCATTGTTTACCAGCAGGAAGCATTGCTTCTGCAATGGGAAGAAAAACACAGCCCTTCTCATTCTGAGAAACATTGCAATCTAGCTTACAGCTGCCATGTTGACT